ACCACAGGTATCGTGATGGCACCTAGTCTTTAAAACTAGGTAAGCCGATTTCTATTATATTTTGAAGCCATTTTTTTTGAATTAAATAAGTAAACAAACCTAACAGTGGAATAAATATGAATATACAACCTCCCAAGACTGATAGTACTGAGTCACGAATTCTAACTGAATATATAGAATGATCACCAGGACAGAATATACAATATTGTTTGATTAAAGATTAACAGTACAATGAAATAAAAAGACTCCAAGGGACTGCGACGACCAAGCAGCTCTACCTTGAATTCTTACGATCCCGCTTTAACTCTGCTCAAGTCCGATATCTCCACTACCTGGCTCTGCACAAAAATATGGAGAAGTGTAGTATGAGTACACCACGGTCGATACCCATTAACTATGAAGACTAACCTCAGTGGAGTAGAGACGAGGTACAGTCAAGACACTCGCTAGTCTAATAGTCTGTGCAATATAATATACAAAATAATAGGAAGCAGATAACAATAAGGGAAACATAAACAACCAGTAATATACACAACAGACAACAAGAATACCATTAATATCGCTCAACAATTAATAAATACAATTACACAAAATAAATCAAATCCTTCAAATAAATGTCTTTCACGTATAATTCTTTCAAATAGCTCTCTTTCAAATATAATTTTCTCAAATAATTACCTTTCGAATATAATTCTTTCATATAATACCTTCTACATAAAAATTCTTTCAAATAAATATTTTGAATATAATTCTTACAATTAAAAAATCGCTATGTGACACCTCATTTCATAATCATAAAAATACAGGTCTCAGCTCATTTTCATATTTTTCGTAAACACGGGTCTCAACCCATTTTTCATATTTTCAACCTCGTGCCCATAATTAAATCATCATATTTCCCCGGCACCTCGTGCCCTCATTTCATATTACAACTGCACGGAAAATTCACGTGCCAATATTCTCATTATTTACTCATGACAACTCGTGCCCATATCTCATTTTATAATCCATCTAGCAATAGCCACAGGCTCTCAATTTCAATATAAAACAGATTGTTATGAATTTACTATCAACAAGATAAATTGCACAAGGTATAAAAATAAACACAAGAAAATCACAATATCACATAAAATCACTAACACCACAACTTCACATCATCACATATCGTCCCTGACAATGACCACCCTTATCGCTCCTATTGCCGCCCTATCGCTCCTATAACCACCCTTATCGCTCCCGCCAGACAATATCAATTGCCACCCTTATCGCTCCTATTGCCACCCTTATCGCTCCTATAGCCGCCCTTATCGCTACGCCCAAATAATATTCCAACAAACACAACAACAGTGAAATGCCACCCTTGTACCCACATATCAATGGTGAAATGCCACCCTTATCTCTTCAAAATAATAACTCACTGAACACAACAATTTACACGATAAATTATCACAGCAACATAACAAAATCAATTTACCTTACAGTTTGCCCAATGGTCACAACAAATTTCAAGGATATAACAAAATCAATTAATTTCACAATAAATAGCCCAAGGCCCACACAATGTATATATAGGAAACCTCAAAAATAATCAACAGAGATAGAAAAATAATCGAAATAGGGCACACCTTCATTAATCCAGGTTTAGATAATTATATTAACACCTCTTCTTAAGTTCATTTAATTAATCATTTGCATAGGGAAAATTCATATTGAAATTTAATTTTCAAGAAATATTAAACCAACAATTCTCTCGAAATTTCATAAATATTTTAAGTAACAATCGCATCAAATTGTCATATAAAAACAAATTCAACAACAAGGATTTAGGTATGGAAAACAGATGATTTAATAATTATCCACAATTACCCAATTTACTATACAATAATGCATAAGACTTTAATCTAATAACATTTGCACATATAAGCCCGAGTACGTACTCGTCACCTCGCGTACACGGCTTTTCACATTCATAAATGGCACATAAGACTCGATGCCTAAGGGGTAATTCCCCCACTCGAGGTTAAGCAAGACACTTACCTTTTTGAAGTTTGGCCGATATTCCAAAATAGCCTTCTTGTTTGAATTGACCTCCGGACAGCTCAAATCTATCCAAATTAATTGTATAACTTCATTAAAATTCATCGAAAATAATTTCGGATAATAATACGTCGACTTAAAAAATTATTCCAAAAGATCAACAAAAGTCAACGCGGGACCCGCCCCTCGGAGCCCGACATAATTTTCATGAAATCCGAACACCCATTCCGATACGAATTCAACCATACCAATTTTATCAAATTCCAATAACAACTAGACCTCCAAATCTTAAATTTTTATTTTTGGAAGATTTTATAAAAATCTTATTTTTTCCTCCATTAAATCTGAATTAAATGATGTATTCAAAGGCATAATCATGGAAATTAATCAAAACTGGATAAGAATCACTTACCCCAAATACCCACGCAAGAATCTCTCCAAAAATCGCCTTCTACCGAGATCCAAATTTGATTTTGAGTTATGAACTCAAACCACCATTTTTGGGACTTTTAATTCTGCCCATATAGGCCTTCTTCGCGTTCGCGAAAGCCAAAACCCAACTGCCTCAAATCCTTCATCGCGTTTGCGACCTACTCATCGCGTTTGCGACCTACTCGTCGCGTTCGCGAAGGCCAATTGTTTCTGCCCCATCATTTCCTCTTCGCATTCGCGATGACCAGCTGACCAGCTCCTTCGCGTTCGCGTTCCACGCTCTGCGTTCGCAAAGGCCAAACGACCTCAGGCCCCACTCTTTCTTTCTTGTTCGCATTCGCGTTGCCTTGGCCGCGTTCGCGAAGGCTTGCCCAGCTCCTTCTTCGCGTCCTCTTCTTCGTGTTCGCGAAGGCCAACCCAACAGCCCCTCAAATTCCTCTTCGCGAACGTGGGACTCCCTTCGCGTTCGCGAAGAAGGAAACCAGGCTTCAGCAACAACAATCCAAACAGCTCCAATTTGGTCTGAAACCACCCCGAAACACACCCGAGCCCCTCGGGACCCCATCCAATCATACCAACCTGTCCCATAACATAACATGGACCTGCTTGAAGCCTCAAATCATATTAAACAATATCGAAACCATGAATCGCACCCTTATTCAAAGTTAATGAACTTTGAAACTTCAACTTCTACCATCGATGTCGAAACCTATCAAATCACGTCCGATTGACCTCAAATTTTGCACACAAGTCACATTCGATATTACGGACCTACTCTAACTTTCAGAATCGGATTTTGACCCCGATATAAAAAATATTAACCCCCCGGTCAAACTTTTCAAAATTTTGAGTTTCGCCATTTCAAGCTTAATTCCACTGCGGACCTCCAAATAATTTTTTGGACACGCTCCTAAGTCCAAAATCATCATACGGAGCTAACGAAACTGACTTAACTCAATTCCGGAGTCATCTTCATACAGTTCCGACTACGGTCAAAATCCTAAGACTTAAGCTTCTTTTTAGGGACCAAGTATCCCAAATCACTCTGAATTATCCAGTAACTGAATTCAACCACGCACGCAAGTCAATACACGTAATACGAAGCTTCTCCGAGACTTATGCCGCCGAACGGGACTTAAATTCTTAAAACGACAAGTCGGGTCGTTACATTGAGGTTAACGATATGAATCTTTATTCCTTTCATTTAACTCACTTCATGTTATCATCATTACCAAAATAAAAGAAAAGTGCAAATAATATATATATATAAAATATCATTAATAGAAGTTCTCTATTAAGTCTAAAACTAATTCCCGATTAGTACTTATATGGATTTTTCTCTTCCATTGTGCCTTGTTTTGAGCTAAGTCTACTTTGATTCCAAAGATTCATCATGGTTTATATTGGTGACTTTTACACTTTTTGCCAGTCTCAGACCCCGCTGTGTGAGATTATACTGGGTATGTTGTTGTTGTCACTAGTTGCCAGTCTACCACAATCCTCCTCATTTATCATAACTTGGAACCGGCAGTGTGAGCGAGCTCACACAGGCAGAGTTATACTAAGTGCGGCATGATAATATGAAATATACTATTATATATATCTTATTATAATCGATTGAATTACACAAATAATATAAAAACATTTACATAAACTTATAAAACTTTGCTATGTTTGGTTACTTTTGATTTATGAATTTAGTAAACCCATATATGTAGCCGTTTAGTTTTACGCAAGGAAATTCAAATCCTAGCATATACACCAAAGCCGATCATTTTTCCTTTTATTCAACGACTATTTCTTTTCTTTTTTCCTTTCGTTTTCTTTTGTAAAATGCTAGCTAGGAGCATGCTGCTATAGTGTATAACTGTTTATCCAAAAAACGGATAACAATTGAATTTATATGTGATTTTTAAGGATATGTGGATGAATTAAATACAAATGATAAATAACGTTAGATTAAACAGATAAAGGACATAATAAATTGCCAACCCAATTAAGGGGAGTGACCCCGGACTCAGTAACAACTTAATAAAATGCCTGCTTTCGATCCCGGGCTCACACTAATGAAGAACTAATGAACAAAAGTAAGAACTTTGGATAACAGAGAAAATAAGAGTATATTATCTTGATATGTGTGTTACAATCTGTCATATGAATAATAAGTTTTTCCCTTTATATAGTAGGGGAGTTTTACCCAAAGTACAATTCTAAAAAAGATAAAAATCCTTTGTTTCGACGATCACTGATTTTCCGCCGATACGAGTCGAGATTCATATCACGATATTCGGTTAGGTACGAATATCAGGACCCTTTGTTAGTCGTGTGCAACTGTTGGATAATGCTCTCCGAGGTCTCAACCCTTAAATCGGACCTCGAGGATATGGCTCCGATATCCCCGAGGGCAGGTGTTTGCCCGAGCCCTGATACGAGAGATTTTTCGTTCTGATTCCGATTCATTAATGTCACGTTCCTGCTCCGTTTGACTCACCGAGAAGTCGAATCATACATCGGGCTCTGTTTTACCCGTATACAATAACATATGGATTTCATTTCAATTCAATAAATTTGACTCAAACTCTATATACATATAAGCAATATATTATGAATACAAAAAATTAAATATGGGTTTGGTATAAATTCTATATCCGCCTTGACTGCAATATCAGTCAAATACTATAATTCCACAAAGACACTTCAACGTCACTTTCAACATCATCCCAACTAAAACAATTACCTAAACGAGGAGTTGGAGAAAACAAAAGCCCTATCATTTCTTGCCACGATCCCTCTATCTCCAACATATCACTATTTTCTCCCCAATTGCAACACAAAACGTTTTCCATCTCCTTATTCTGCATTTTCAATTCCTTAACCCCCATATCATACCCACCTCCATTAACAACATTCTCTTGGCACTTTACTTCCTCATTTGAATTAACTTCCTCGTTCATATAGTCGACTCCAACTAACTCAGGATCCGGACGAAACGCCTCGGCTGCTTTTACAGCAGCCTGGCGTAAGTCCTTAGGATCCTTTGATACTATCACTGGCAACCTCCAAAGGGAGTCTGCGAAGTTTAGAGTAGCGGAATTACCTCTAAGTGCTAATGCAGCTACATCATGAGCTCGAGCTGCCATTTCTGGAGTAGGATAAGTTCCTAGCCATATTCTTTTTTGTTTACTAGGTTCCCGTAGCTCGCAAACCCACTTGTTATTATTCCTCCTCCTCACTCCCCTATAAATCGGGTGGCGAGTTTCCTTGAACTTCTTTCTCCCTGCACGTTTCTTGGGTCGACTCGAAGCTAATAGTATAATTCCTTCGTCGAGAGATGATGATGATGTTTCCTGCGAGTAATCTCTCTCTAGATTTGCCGGATTGGAATCTAAAGAGCATGAAATCGAGTTATTATTAGTCATCTCTGGTTTTCTTGAAATAGCGACTGTTATAATAGTAAAAAAGAGTCAAACTTTGTGTTGTGAGCGAAGTGCTATGGCTTAAGAGTGTTGTTGTTGACTTGTTGGTTGTGGAGTTTTTAGAATTTGCTGAAAGTTTTGCAGTGCTATTTATAGATTTGGATATAATTGGATTATGAAGAGTGAGAAGAAGAAGAAGAAGAAGAGAGCACGTGGCCACGATATTGACGCGCACCCGGAATTAAGTTGGCTAAGAAAAGAAAAACTGCAAGTGTTCGATCTGCTCTTTTTCTTATTTTTGTGGGGTCTATTTAATTCTTTTTTAAAAAAAATTATTTATATTGGAGTTGGATTAAATTAAATATCATATTAGGGATAAAACATTTGCTAACAAGACAATTTTATATCTGGATCTTCTAAACCAAAACCTATAAAAGAGTAGTTAGTAACAGTGACAGATCCTGAGTATGATATGCAGGTTTACGGGAACCCAGTAATTTTTACTCGGACGTTATTTTTATATTTAAATGTCTGCTAAATATATGTAATTATTTGACAGCAAACCCAATTATTACTGTAAATTCTAGTTAAAATCAATATAGAAACTCATAAATATAACTTTATCATTCTACCAAAATTCTTATTGGTGGGGTCTGCATTATTCTATATATATAGAAAAAGACTAGGGGTTTTATAGCACGTGGTTGAATTAATGAGTTCCAAAGTTTAGGATATGATTAATTAATAAAAAAAGAATAGTATGTTTTTTTATTGTTGTTTTCAGTGTGGGTAAATGGGGACAGAAATTTTATGTCTTAGTTCTCATGAAACAGATGGAGTTTTGGCACACGGGTGCTACACACTTTAGCCACTTTCAACTTTCAAGTACGAATATATTCCAATTGAGAATTTGTGTGCAAAATAACTTTAATGAATTGTGTGAAATCCTAAACTTCTATACATTTATAGAGTAAAGTTATTATATTATCGTGTTATCTAAGAATTGAATAGTTACCTGAAAAATCGAAATCTATCGTGAAAAATTATACTAAAAAAAAAAAAGCAACTCAATGTACAAGGTTTAAGGAAGGGTTGCACCCCAAGGAGTGTGATGTAGACAGCCTATCCTAATGCAAACATTAGTGGTTGATTTCACGACTCGAATCCATGACCTATAAATCACACAGAGATAATTTTACCGTTACTACAAGACTCCTCTTCCGAGAAAAATTACACTGATAATTTAAATAATTACACAATCATAAGTTAAATCCAAAATTAAGTTTTATATAGTATACTTATTATGAACATTAGTTGAAGGCAGAGAGAGAGAGAGCGACAATCTCTAAGGGCTCGTTTGGTACGAGGGATAATGGATAATTAATCTGTAGATTAAATTTGAGATGAGCTTATCTCATATTTGGTTGGGATAAAATCGCAGTATAACTAATCCCGGGATTAGTTATTGTCACGACCCTAATTTTCCTCCGTAGGATATCATGACGGCACATAGTCTCTAAGACTAGGTAAGCCTAACACCTACTAAATTAATAGAAGAATTCAACCCATCAATGATAAATATGAAATAGTAAACTTTATACACAACTTACAATTTTCAAAAGTAGTAATACAAGTCATAAGCTCTATTAAATTTGCTAGAAAAATCCTTAAATATAACTGTTCGGATAAAATTAAATAGTTCAAGTACAATAACAGAAGGTGACTCCGAGGCATGCAAAGGCGACGACAGGTTTACCTTGAGTCTCCATAGCAATGCTCGACCAACTAGCTAATAATCAACAATAACTGTGGCACCTAGATCTATACAAAAATGTGCAGAAGCGTAGTATGAGTACACCACAACGGTACCTAGTAAGTATCAAGACTAACCTCAGTGGAGTAGTGACGAGGGACAGTCAAGACACCTACCGGACTAAACAATCTGAACAAGTGTGAAGGTGAACTAACAGAGTAACAAATATTAATATAAAGCTAAGTAGGATAAGGAATACAAAATAATGCTTGCAATGATACACTAGTAACAACAATATTTAACAGAAAGCAGTCAGGTAATACTGTTGTAGAGTAAGCTGAACACAGTCAAGTCCGGTAATATCAAATAAAGGAAAATCAGCAATAACTCAATAAGGACAACCGCTTTCACATCAGATCTGTCAAGCATTTTCACGAGGTACCAAACCTCATAATCACAGCTCGCAGGTTCCAATTCATGAACCCTAATCACTTGGCATCTTGTGCCCGCACTACAACTCATAGCTCCACAGACAACTCACGTGCCAGGAGAACAACTCTCATCGGGCCGGGCGGGCTCTGTAAGAGAAGAGCTAACTGGAGTACGCCTGGAACGACGAACGAAGAGTATGAGAAGAGAGTTTCAAAGGTCAGATCGGGTTGGCTTGGCTGGTAAAGCTTGTGTTCCAGGTCAATAAAGACTACAAACTAGTATTGCTAACAAGAAGCTAACAAAGCAAGGCTGCTAAAGAAGAGCTTGTTCCGGTTCCGGATACTAGAATAAGAAGAACGAAAGCTTGTAGAGCTACTGCGGAGCTAACCCTTGTTTTATTAGTTTGGTGGTTCCTACCAAGACAATTTCTTTATGCCCATCAAAGGACCTCGAGATGCTAATCCGACCGAATTGATTATCTTCATGCATAAGGATCCTAGATTACCCAGTACAAAAGATTAAAAAATTATCTTTTCGAATATGAATTTTGATTCGATCTTATTATTAGAATATGAAGATTCAACTAAATATACTATTTTTCAAGAAGGAGTCGCCACCTTACCTTATTCCAACGTAGGGACTGAAGGGATAAGGTTGTGAAGGTGGCCTCATTATCCATAACTCCGGTTAGATGAATGAAGGACCGACCGACCCGGGTTTTCACGAGCGCTGGCGGGTTCGCTATAGGAATTGACCAAATATCTCACGACACGAGCTGACGACAGCCATGCAACACTTGTATGAAAGTCAGTACCATCCCGTTTGATGACTTGATGAAGATGTGCTTGTGGTTGAAATTCTTCCACCATGGAAGATGTACTTTGATGGTGCTGCTCATCAAGCAACACAACTTATTAACATCATCTGCAGGAACCATCCCTTCTTCAATGTCTATTGATACTATATTCTCAACCTTTGTTTCGGAGTTTTCAGGTGTCGAACTCTTTTATCTTCGCCAAGATGTTTTCTCAGCGATCTTTCCTCATCCTGAAGTTGATCTCTTGTCCTCTACTACTAGCCACGCATTTCAAGCCCACCTTATCTCACCGTATGTATTTCAATAATAACAACAGCGCGACAGCAACCTCGTGCAACACAATAACAACTGTACGGCATAAACCTCGTGCAAAAACAATAACAACTGCACTGTAGAAACCTCATGCAAACACAATAACAATCCTTTCAATAATAACATGTGTGCCAAAACATAACAACTCAACAAAATAACTCTCGCAATATGTGTCCATATGCCACAATATTTCCTCAAAATAGTTTCAATATCACAACCACGCATAGCCCTCAGCTAAACAACACTGAATACAATAGCAACAATAACAATAACACGAGAATATCGCAAGTAAATCAACACAAGAAATTCAAAACACAAAGAAACGGAAGAACGAACTCACAAAGAAAGACACAACATGGAAATAATAGTCTCAACAAGAATAGTTCAACAAGGGAGAGGTAAAGTGTAACAATGATTTCACGAAAGTACAATTCGACAACAAGAAAGATAGCATGAATCAATGACCCCAAATAAGAATACGTCAACAATGAAAGGGATAACAAACTTCAATTAAGGCTAAGCACTTACGGAAGAGATAATACTGATTTCAATTAAGGTTAAGCAATTACAGAAAGATAATAATGATTTCAATTAAGGTTAAGCAATTACGAAAAGGATAGCATGACGATAAAAGAGGTAACAACTTCAGTTAAGGCACATAAGCGTTTAATCGGCAATAAGGGTAGAACATAAAGCAATTAATTTCAATTAAGACACGTAAGGGTGAGTTTAGTAAATGGGGAATTTAACATGATAAACAACTTCATATCTAATGAACATAAGAACCTAAGAGCCCTAAACGGTCAAATTTCTATAAATAAGCCCGAGTACGTACTCGTCACCTCGCGTACACGGCCTTCACATGACACAATTAGCATAAATGGCTCAAATCCTAAGGAGTAATTCCCCCCTCCCCTCCCCTCCCCACAAAGTTAGGCAGATACTTACCTTAAAGAAGCTAGACTGATACTCTAAAATGACCTTCTCGAGAGAAACAAGGACGGCTCAAATCTAGCCAAAATAACATCAAATCATAAATAAAACTCATAGAAAAAAATTTTGGATAATAAAGCTTCAATCTTTAAAGAGAACTAGGGGTGAACATTCGATATTTCGGTACTTAGATATTCGGTATATCAATTGTGTATACCAAATACCGTACCAAAATAGTTCGGTACGGTTCGGTATTTTCTTGATTGGTTTGGTACGATTTCGGTATTGTACCAAGTCTTTGTAGAAAAAAAAGTAGTGAGTTGGTCATGAAATCAAACGAAGTTAATTGATTGACATTGATAACTTCTGTTTGATGCAAGAAATTATTTAAGAAAAACACAAGGTTATTAAGAAATGAATTCAAACTTAATAGCCCGATTTACCTGAATGCCAACATATCTGTTAAAGAAGATTATAATCTTTCAAGTACATATTCCATGTTTTGTGTGCTTTTGTATGTTCTTAGGCAACATGGGTCTAGTAATTCTCATTTTTGTAGTGAGAATAAAGAAGGAGAAAATCTCAAGGTCAACAATATGAATCTTTATTCATTGATTTTAATCAAAAAGGACTCATTCTACTTCAGACTCTAAAAATTAAACAACAGAGCACCCAAAATTGCCGGTAAAACTACAGCCTCTTAGCAACAACTTTGTTAAATTAAATTGAACAAATGAAAAACTGAAAAATTAATTACTCTTCCTAATTGAAGAGTTAAAATAAGTTTCTACTTCCTAAATAAATTTCTTTAACACCTATCATTACAGTATGAGGAATGATGAAGATTGAGGAACGAGAACTTGTTGAG